TTACTTTCGATAAAGTTCAGGAATGGCTTGAAAAACAAGTTTTATATTAAATTCATAAATCATATCCAAAGTATATTCCTTAAGTATCATTTAATACAATATAAATTCTTAACAAATGTCATCAAACAAACCTTCTTTATATACTTTATAATTGAATTAAAAATAAGACTTACTGTTTTATTCTTATAATAGTTAATATGGCCAGCAAGTTTAAAATTACATATCCTCTGACAGATCATACTTCTTACAAAGTTGCTAAAGCATTTGAAAAAATTTATAATAATCTTGAATATCCTCTTGTCTGGTTAAAATTGTTATATATTGATAAGGGCATTGAGTTTTGTGAAAATTGTGAAGAATTAATGATTAAATATAGTGTAAAAATTAAGTTAGGCATATCATATTACAATCAAAGTATTGTTGAAAGATTTAATTGAATATTAGCTGAAAGATTATTTCAATTATAAAATGCTTCTGATTTATTGCTATTTTTATCTAAGAAATCTTGAACCTGGGTTAAAAACCTTTCAATTATTGTTAAGGATCTTAATAATTCTATAACTTGACTTCTTGGAATGAGTCCTATGGAGACAATAAAAAAGAAACAAGTTATTGTCAAATCTTCTTTATTTTGTAATAGTCCTATAGGATTTGATAAGTCTCGATTATTTTACAATAATTCAGTAAGATATTTGCTTGAATTAGGTGAGTTAGAAGGTGGATGACGTCATGTTATAGATTGTATATACTCACCTCAAATATATTAAATTAAAAAAGCTCTAATACAAAAAAATTAACTTATTTTATATTGGTTAAAAAATATTAATGGCATTGGTCCAAAGTGGTCTTTTGTAAAAGAAGAGATATTAGTTATATCTAAAGATAGTATGCTTCTACTTCAGTGAATACTTAAACAATATTAAATTTCTAAATCATGAATTTTTTAAAAAATATCATCTACTTCTTTCTTGGATCTTTTTTCTACAACTTCTTCTTGATTAACTAATTTGAGATATAATTTATATAGATTTTCAAGAAAGCATATACTTCTTTATTATACCAATCCTTAAAATCTGCCATTCTTTCATTATAAGTTTTCTCATTTGGGATACATTGTTTTGCAACATATCTAACATGATCTTCTGGATCTCTTTTTCACTGTAATATTTAAGAAAGTTTATATATAATACTCCTAATTTGTCATATTTTTTGGTATCTTGACTATATGTAACTCTAATTACTTCAACTAAAGCAAATTCAATATTTTTGTGATTTGTTATTTTGAATATTATATTTTTTATTATATGTTACTTTATTCAGTACTTTTGTTTAAATAAAAAATATTTCTTTTATTTATGTCTGAAAAATATACCTGTGATTATATACACAACTCTGATAAAATTTGTGAACGTAGGTGCTGACATCCTAAAGGATGCTATAAATATTGGAGATCTAAAAAATGCATCCCTTGTAAAGTTTGTGGTAAGCTGACTTCTTCTACACTTGAAATGTGTAAAATTCATGTTAAAGGGTATTATATTATGTAATTCTATATTCGAGAACTAAATAAAAAACTAAATACTCTATAATACTCTACATTTGTATCACATTTATCTAAAGGTTCATGTTCCTTAATTTCAGATATTAATTTATTTGATAATATTTTAAATGTTAATTTATTTGATGATATTTCAGATATCAGTTTATTTGATAATATTAGTTTTAAAAACTTGCAAACTCAAAGATGTAAAAAAAAAGTATATAAATTTATACTATTCTAGAAAAAAGTCACAAGGCGAGATTTTGAAAACTTCAACTAGGCAAGAATACAATATAGATTTTAGATATTTAAAGAACAGTTAAAGTGCAAGTAACTATACAAATAATTAATATAAATTTTAAGATTTTAAATATTTTTTTTTAATCAAGGAAGTAAATTATATTTTTTAAGTTTTAAATCACTCCACTTTGTTAAGGAAACAAATTATATTTTTTATATTTTAAATTATTCTGTTTTGTCAAGGAAGCAAATTACAATTCTTGAACTTCTAGAGATCAGTTTAAAAAAGAAAAAAACATCTTTTTTAAAGTACATTTTTGAATATCGATTTCTGATATATATCAAAAATTTTTATCAATTTTAGTAATTTTAGCTCTAAAAACTCGCAAACCAAAGGTGTATAAAAATAGAAAAAAAAACTTACCTGCCAAAAAAAAAAATCTGCTCACACTTCTTGTTACTGGGGATCTGATAGATTATATAAAATTTAAAATAAAAAATTTTCTTGTGTACTTAATAAAAAAAAGAATATTGGTTCTTAATATATACTTTAAAAATATTGGATTTACGATATTACTATAATATCAGGTATCCGAAAAAATCTAAAAAAATATCATGTTCCTAATATTACTATTTATTATCATATACCTGATATTAATAAAATATTGGGTACCTGAGATTAAAATAAAATTTATTACATAGCTATTGGGTGTATTATAAAATTTACAAAAGTATTATCAAGCTTTTTTAAAAAAAATACAGATATCAGATCTCTGATATATATAAAAATATTTTATATATCTGATAATTTTCCAATAATTGTTCAATATTTGAAAATATTGGAAGACTAATAGGTACCCAATAGATATTCAATATTCAAATTTTGACCTGTGAATATATTACTAAAAATTGTCTTATGTAGCAAGTAAATAAATTTCAACAAACTCTTCAAAATAATCAAAGTAACATTATATTTGCTATTTATTTTTTCACTTAATAGTAACAGCTGTAACAAATTTATTAATTTACAATTTAACAAGTCCTGTTACAGCTCCAGATAAATTTGCTTTCTATAAATCAATTTACATAACCATAAGCTACTTATCAAATATCAACTCAAACCATATTAGTAATGATGTAACAAGAAAAAATGAAACAGCCTACTAACAAATATATAATCATTTAAACTAGAACACATATCTCAAGAAAATAAGTGTGTGAAGGATAATACAAAAAAAAAAAAGTATTAAAAATTAAAGAATTGATTTCATTTGTATTATTAAATTTAGTAGTTTGTAATTTAGTTCAAGAAAAAATTATATTGCAAAGACCAAATGAAAGTAGTGTGAAATTATCCAATAGCATTGTTGTTGTTGATGTAGGACAAGGTGCTAATATGCAAAGTTGATATTATTTCATCAAATATTATAATTTCATAATTTTAACTAAAATCAAGATCAATTTTGTGTTACATAAAAATATTTCAAAAAAAAAATTAGCCGCATAAATAATATACTTAAATATTTAAAAAAATGTATTAATGACAAATTTTATAGTATTTAAATAAGCATATTTGACAGCTAAAGTCTACAGAATAGATAATACTTTGAAAATTCAGGTGATATCTTACTAGCCATTACATTTAAATATTTCAAATACTTCTCACCTCCATATTACTTATATACCTGGTCAAAATTATCTTTTGAATAAAGTATACTTCATGTAATTTATATAATTTGAATTGGAATATATAATATAAAATAACAATTAAACACTTATAGAAATACGATTGTAACTTTATAAAGCTATGTATAAATTGATTAATTAAAAAGGTGATGATTTTTTTTTTTCCTAATACAAAAATAAAATAAAAAAATACATGAAATATCTGGAAAATTTGAAGATCTTCTAGAATGAAAAAAAAATTTATTATATTGTACAGCATCTAATCGATAGTAATAATTAATAATTTCATATAATAGTACAATGGAATTTAGGAAATTTGTAAGTGGCTTGAATCCACTAATGTATTTTTTTAATCATTTTATTTATTTCAAAGGAAATATCCGTTAACGAATTAATTATGCCAAGTTATGCGATAAATTTTATTGTACCACCATAAAATATATAAGAGATAGTAAAATAGATATTAGATGTTACACTATTTAAATGTTTAATTTAATAAATAGAATTTACATTTTCATATAAATGCGTTTGATCTATAGTATAACAAAGTAATATATATTACATTATTTTTCTTATTGACCAATAAATTATGTTGTACTCTAACTCAAAGGTATTACGTCTTGTTCCCCCTAGTTTCTCTATCAAACAGTGTAAGTAGTTTTTTTTTTTCAACTATTTCATTATTCGTTTCCTTTTTTTCTTCTTTCCTTCTTTGCGAATCCAATAGTTCCTTCGTTGAATTAGCTGGTTCGTTTTTTTTTTTTTCGCCGGCAGACCTTTGTTCGGTTTTTATTTTATTTTAATTATTAATTATTATTGTCCTTTGAGTTCATTATTATTGTTCCCAAAATTATTTTCCTATATACCTTCTTTTCCCCTCCTTTCTGACTTGCCATTTCTCTCACTTTCTCTCTCTCCCTTTCTTTCTCACTTCCTTTTCTTACCGAATAGTTTTTATACCATCATCTCGGCCGAAGAAAAGCTTTAAGAAGAAGAAAAAATTACCAGCGTAGTTTATATAAAAACCCAATAAAGCAAAAGGGTCCTCGTGTCTGGCTACCGCTGATCCCTGCTCCCTTCTCTACAAAAAATTGACCTTAAGGAATCGTGTAATTTGCGTTTTTTTCCCGAATAAGCTTCTTTCCTTTTATAAAATGTAATATATTATTATTATTATTATTTTCTTAATCGAAATATTTATTTTATTATTAAATATTAGTAAGTTTATTTGAGTGTTTTTTGGAGTATAATAAAACGTTGTCAAATAATAGATTTTTAGAATATGAATAGATCCGTAAAAAATTATTTATGTTAGTTGAAACAGGAAGAAATGTGGAATATAGACAAAAAATAAAAAACAAACAGAAAACGGAAGAAGGATTTAATAATAGATTGTGATAATAACAACAACAAATAATAAGCAACGGATAATAATAACTGAGATAATAATAACTAATAATAAAAAATTAGAATAAATTATTAACAAATTCTTTACCATCAATATTTTTTTATATAATTTAAATAGCAAAATACAATGGCATCACTAAGGCGCTTTCTTCTCGTTCTGTTCGTTTTCTTAATTATAGCGATTATTACAATACCAATTGAAGTAAATGCTCAAACTCCTAGTAACACATCGTCAACTCCAGAAGATGATACAACATCTCCATCCGAACCTACTTCAACAACTACTCCATCTTCAGGAAAAACAACAGCTACTGAATCTACAACAGAGGAAACTGTAACTTCGGACGATCCTTCAACATCTGGTGTGAGTAATTAAAATTTTTATTTATTTATTTATTTTTTTTTTTGGAGGGCATAAAAATTAATTTGAAACTTATTAATTATTTCAATATTTATTATTTTAATTAAATATAAAAATATAAAATAATATATTAAAATATATTAAAATATATAAAAAATATATAAAAATATATATAAATATCTAAATATAATATTATAGTCATCAAATCCAACTAGCGACAATAAACCTGATCCAACCTCCAACTCCAGTTCAGATGATCCAACTCAAAGTACACCAAATGGCAATGGCAATACTAGTAGTAGTAAAGCATTAGGTTCAACAACAACTAAAACTTCAACATCAGCCGGAAAAGTTATTACGATTACATCAACAGATACTTCTGAACAAACATCTTTGGGAGCTGTTCCATCCACAGTTAAAACACCTAAAAATGAAAATAGTAATAATAGTAATTCAAGTGATTCTGGTTCTAGTGCCAATGTGGTAACTGCAGCTATTGTTGTAGGTACTGTTGTTATTGCTGCTGCAATCGGAATATGGATATTTAGAAAATGGAAACTTACGGTAAATATAAATTTTTATTATTTAATTTTATTATTTTATTAATTTAATTTTCTATTCTATTTTATTTATTAATTTTATCTGTAATTTTATTTATAAAATATTAAAATTTTTAAATTAATTATTATAGCCATCTAGAAACTTTAAAGAAAAGATTCAACCAGTTTCCTTTGCACCACGTTCCGTGGAATCAGATACAGTGTTCTTACGAGAATTAAATGAACCTTAATATTTATATTAATTTTTGATGGTTTTCGTGGGACAATTTAATAAATAAATCGGTTAATAAAGGTATCATCTACTTATATATAATTGTCTATTTTTTTAATATTATATTATTTATTTATTATTATTATTATTATTATTATTTATTATTATTATTTAATGTATCAACACTCAAAATTATTTGTTATTATTATTTTTTTTATTTAAATCTTTTTAATTATTCACACACACACACACACACACACACATACATATATAATATATTCTCATTCACAAATCTAATTAAATACATCAATCCATTCAATCAAATATAAATCATGTAGGATAAAGTTCAACAAGTTAATCCATAAAAAAAATATTTTATTATTTTTTATTATTATATTTCTTTTATAAATTTTTTTGTACCTTTTTTTTTATAATAATATCTCAAATATCACCAATATTATATGATAATGATGAAAGAAAAAAGAACATAAAAATTTCTTGGGTCACTTTTTTTTTTGTGTTTAATTGTTATTATATTACATTACATTTAATCAAATGACTTGTATTTTTTTTTTTTTTTAATATCAAAAACAAGGGCAAATCCTTGTTTTGAAAAACAAAGAATATATTTAATTTTATTATATTATTATTACTATTTTTTGATTAGGCAAGAATTTCATGTTATTATGTTATTCTTTGAATAAAAAAAAAAAGAAAGAGTTATTAATGTGTGTGTGTAGAATTTATAAGATTTTTTTGTCATAAAAATCAATTTATCCATTGTATAATTTATTATTTAAAAGTTATCATCACGTAATAATATAATTTAAAATTATAATAAATAGTAATATAATAATGATTTTTCATTTTTTTTTTTACTTGCTGCATTTCTAAAATTATAGAGATAACGTTTCTCTTGGATTTGATATTTATGATATAATAGGAAAATATGCAAGAATGAAATAAATTGAAATAATGAAATGCACATTATATAAAATTACCATTATTATTATTATTATTATTTATTTATTTTATTTATTATTATTATTATTATTATCTGTGAAAAAAACAAATTGAATTTATTTAATTTATCTATTATTTTGTTGATAATTGGTCGATAATTTGTGGCGGTGGTTCGAAAATTGGAAGTGGATGTGCTTCAGTATTAAATACATATTTATCTAAAGGGATTTTATCATTACTTCCAAATAATAAATATAAATATTTCAAGGTTTCGGCCTATTTGATAATAAAATAAATAACAAATAATAAGTATAACATAATATTTAATAAGTATCATAAGTATTATAAGAGAACAAAACTGACCATCCAGAATGTTTCCATTTTATCACGTTTAACTGGTGGTATAACTGTAACATCATCTAGAGAAGTGTAACCACCATCCTGGATTTTGGAATATTTCTCAAAAGCTTGAAATATCTCCCAACCCCATTCTCTACATTAATAACATCGAATATATGTAATATATGTGTATTGTAAGTGTAATGTAAGTATATCTATATAAATAGTGAAAACATATTTACAAAGCTATCGAGAATGTTCCTTACCGATATTTTTCTTCGCCGGTTAGTCTCCATAATATAAATAAACTTTCCACAGTTTCTGGTCGTAATAAATTATGTCGATCAAGTTGTTTTATCATTATATCCTGAGTAGATCCTTCATGAGTATTAAAATATGCAATCTCTGGTGCTAATCCGGTTTCAGTACTAAAATACATCTGAGCACAAGTTTTAGTTAATTCTTTTCCGATATTAAAATCTTCTTTATCATTTTCACTTAAATAATCTTCCACTTCTTTAAATTTTTTTCCTTGGGTAGCTCCTAATGCTAAATTTCCTCCCATAAAACATACGAGATGATCCATTTTATTGTGTAAAGATGGTGAGGAATATCTTGGCACTTCTCCAATAAATAATAAATTAGAAGGTTGAGAATGATTTATAAGTTGATTTTTAACTCCACGCATCGCTTCATCATACATCCGACGATAAATTTTTTCAGTACTTGAAGTTTGAAGATATTGTTTTAAAAGATATTCTAATTAAAAAAAAATAAAATAAAATTAAAATTTATAATTATTTGAGTGATTTAAAAAAGATATTCACGAAATGAATTCATTTGTGAAATTTATGACTTACCATAATAACTATCTCCACGTGCGCCCAATGTTATCTCTTCTCCCTGAAATTGTCCATCAGAAGGTCTACGAATATTATTATTTATTAGAATAATAATAATAATTATAATAATAAAAAACAATAATAAAAAAAGATTAGATTATTATTATTTAAAATAAAACCTTATAAATATTGGTACTAATCCATCAAATTTTTCAAGGTTATCAATTGTTCGCATAATTTCTTCAACTTTTGTCCAATATTTATATTCTTTACTAATATAACTTAAATATTTAAATTCTAATTGTAATGTGGTAATTTCAGATGTAGAACTAGCACCTCCACCAAAATGAGCTACTTTTCCTTTCCTAGTAGCCAAATTAACTGATGCATAAGGAATTCCGGTTTGTGATTCGAATGCACCAATCAATCTATCACCTAAATCAATAGCTTTCTCAAGATAAATTGAATCACCTTCTGATAAATGATAAGCACTTAATAAACCACCTAATATTCTTATAGTGGTTTCAAATAAATTTACATATCCATCAATATTAAAATCCAAATTTTTTATCCAATCTCGAGCTTTTGAATATTCTGATGATAATCCCATTATTATTATTGTATCAATTGAATCTATTATAGTAAATCCAATACCTTGAGTTGTTAAATTACTTCCTTTACGAGAAATTGGATGATATTCATCATATCCCCAAGCATCTCGTTCATATCCTTTCCAAGCATGACTAAATGCTTGACGTACAGCATATTGTCGTTCAGTCCATTTTAATTCCGTTTCATCTATTTTATTATTATTATTATTATTATTATTATTATTATTATCTATTTTGTCTATTTTGTCTATTTTGGGTGGTGGTTGTAGTGGTGGTTGTGGTGGCGGTAGTGGCATTGGTATCGGTTGAAAGGATTTAAAATATTCCATTATTCCATTTCTTTTTTTCCAATGTCTCCAATAAAGAAAAATTAATGTACATAATATAACAAAAATTACTACGCGCTTTCGTGTAATTAACTTATTCTTTTTCTAAAATAAATAAATAAATAAGTAAATAAATATCAATCAAGACGAACAAATAAAAGAAAGAACAAATTTATATTTACGAAATAATAATGCCGCGATTTATAGATTTTTCCATTATCATAATCTATTTTAATATATATATATGAAATATAACTTTGACATTAATAAAAAGATGAGATCGTAAAACAAACAGAATGAAATATTTACCATCGCGAGTAATCGGTAGCATTACGACTTGGTTTTTTTATTTATTAAATATTTTCAATGAATAAAGTAATAGTAATACACACTAAATCTATAAATTTTTATAAATTAAACTAAAATTCAAAGTAGCGTGGAATTGGATTTGTGCTTATAAAAATTTCAGGATAGGTTAACGCGGAATTTAATATTGATTTGTTTTTTAAATATATAAGTTAATATAAACATTGTCAATACCCTTAAGGGGGTAAAACTGATCATTTACATAATTATAATTAATGTAAGTAATGTCACCTGTAATTTATTGACATTTAAATATTCAAAAAAATCGACTAAAATGATTATATAAATCATTAAGAAAAGAAAATGGAGACAACAGTATTTACAGAAATATTACCTAATATTCAATCGACAAATATAAATTTTGGAATACCAGTTATTAATACTAATAAATTAAAATCAATTTATAAACTTGAGATTAGTCCAATAGAACTAATTTTTGAACCAAAACAAAAAGAAGGACGACGACAACAACAACAAAAAATAACATTGAAATTATCTCAAACAATAGAAACAAGTGATTCACCTTCTATAACAACTTCCTTAGATAGTTTAGATATTAAATTAAAATTAAGAAGTTATGTTAGAAAGAAATTGTCAAGAGAATCATCTTTATTATCATCATCAAACAAATTACCATTCTCTGCTACAGAAATAACAATAAATAATTTTATAAATATTTTATGTGGAAGTTGTAAAATATCATTACTTAAACCAGTTAATAATGATAATGATGATAATAATAATAATAATATATTCACAAAAATTTTAGATATGCCATCAGAACATTGGATAGAATTATTAGATTGTTGGATGTGTCATCAAGAAGAATATCCTCAAGCTCAATTTATTATGAATGATATTATTGTTAAAGAAAATATTTGTTTAATAGGAAATACTTATTATTTGATATTTCCTACTAATGTTAAAGATGATGTAATAACAATTGATGATAATAATAATTATAAAGGATCAATTATAGATGTAAGAATTTTTTATTTTATTTTTTACCATTAAATATTAATACAATACAATAGTTTAGATATTATAGTTATTATTATTAATTACTAAATAATTACTAAAGAATTAATAGAATAGTTAGTAATTAATTAATGGACTTCAAAGAAAGCTAAAATCTAAAGTTACTTAGATAATTAGTTGATGCTACAAGTCCTAAATAAATAAATCAAAATTTTATCCCTTTTTAGAATCATTATGTATTTAGTAGTTATTAAGATACATGCTATTACAAAGGAGAACAACTTTATTAAATATTTATATATTTATTAATAGTGGACAAAAGGATTGTCTAGAAAATGGAGATCTATGAGTTGTTCTAGATGTTTGAAACCTTTAGGAGAAGGATTATACAGTATGGAAGATAAAACAGAAGGAGGTAAAGAAATAAGTAAAATATTGATATTAATTATTAAATATATTTATTATATCTAAATAGATATACAGTATATATATTTATTTTTTTTTATTTTAGAACCTGTATTGATAGCTGTTAAATTCAATAAATATATGACTGCAATCAAATCAAAAAAGAATGATAATGATGATAAAGAGTAAGTTTTCTATTTGATAATTTAACATGTGTGAAATAATTTATTTATTTATTATATATTATTTATTTAGATTTTATTTATTTATATATTTTATATTTATTTATTATTTATTATTTTTTAGTTCTTTTATACGTATATGTCAATTTAATGCAGTTATAGCAGCTGACTTTCTTGAAGCAGCAAAAGCACATGCTACATATCGTTTTATTATTGAAGGACAAAAAATGAATAAACCATATATTCTGGTATTCAATTAATTATATTTAATTATATTATATTTAAATTATATTATTATTTAATTTTTATTTATTTTAATTTTATTTTTAGATTTGGTTATTCGATTGGGATACAAAGATTATAACAAATGCTTTACAAGATATTAAATCACAAAATAAATTTTCTCCAGATGTAATAATGACTTTACATGATCTTTTAGTCAAGGAAAATGAAATGAAAATTAATGATGGTATTTCTTTATTTCAATTTATTTAATTTATTTAATTTATTTATATTTGATAATATTACTTTATTAATTTAATTTAATTTAATTAATTATTATTATAATTATTATTTGTAGTTATGAAATTGTTATACATTGATTGTACTTTTATTAATAACAATAATAATAAAATTATTGAGGAATGGATAAAAGATAAAACAGTTGAACATTTTAAATATCATGATGATATTTGTTTACAATTATTGGTTACATTAAAAACAAGTATGAATAGTTTACCATTTAGTAAAAGAGTTATGATGAATGATTTTAATATAGGTTATTTAATTATATAATTATCAATACAATTAAATATTTACATCTAAAATACAGTATATGTTATTTTAAATAATTATACTTTTTAATCTGATTACATTAATTGATCATCATCAAAAATACTTAACAAGTGAATTTTGAAAGCACTTTCTTGAGTGTAATGAGATAAGACAACACAATAGAAAGGGAACTTCAACATGAAGCAATTTTCCAAGAGAAGCCTTCGATTTCCCAGAATACTGCCACATGCCGTAAACGAAAGAATGAACTAGGTTTAATTCAAGAAATATTCTGATGGTTTACTAAATTTAGCTATCTCATCTATTAATAAAATTACATGAATGTACAGTACCTTCAGAATTGAAAGTATATTTCACTCTCCGAACGTAAATCTTTCTTGTGTAATCATCAGCAAAAGTTTATTATTTTTTACGAATTTGAAATTAAAAAATTTTTTTTCTTGTAATGTTTACGTAAAGAAAAAAGGGACGAAATTGTCCAAGGCTTTAAAGGCAGTTAAAAATTCCTTTAAAAAAAAGCCCTAGGTTGTTGTTAGTGAACTTGGTCCTTTCAAAAATCCATTTTAGTATTAATTGAATACTTCTTCGCCACATCAGTTAAGTGTCTATTTCTACGGATCATACCCTCAATCCACAACTGGGACAATATCCAATTCATCTGAAAAGTTTAGATCAATCTATGAAGTTGAGCATGTGCCAGGTGAAGCAAAGAAATTTCTAGGTATGGATGAAAGTTTTCCCCCCATATATTCTGGTTAATAGATTAATATGTTTGTTTTCTTGATTAATGTTTTTATAGAACGTATGAGGAATGATTTTAGGTGCCAGAATCGATGCCTCGTTGTTCTAGGGCCTTTGGTGGTTATCATGTTGATGAACCAGAATTTGAAAAGGTCACAAAAAATATTCTAAAAGCCATAAGGATGAATGGGTACTAATGTACAAACAAAATATACAAGGATATAAAAAAGAAGTCACAAACGAGGAAGATTCGGATCTTCTTGATGAGATGAAAGGTGCTCTATATCTTCCTGTTGATCACGGTTTGAGGAAGCTAAACCAGCAAGAACGTTGTACGCTCAGTAATGGAGATGAATATAGGATCTGAATCTGATCGTTATTATTGCTTATTAAATAATTGTTGTGTGTAAAAATGCTATATTTTAACTGTAGTTCTCAATTGAAATAAATAAAGGGTAAATTCGCGTTAAAAGAATTGAAATATCATCGGAGATCATTATGTTTTTATTGATTCTGATAGCGGTAGAGAATACACATCTACCATTGACACAGCTGCCTCAGAAACCATACTTCCATATAATTTTTATAAAAATATTGGTAAAAAGGGTTGGTCAATAATTCATCGCTTTGCTTCAGATTATGGGTCACCTTCATGTCTATTTTATACAAAAGATCCATTTGATGTGAGTATTGGAAATGATGTTGAATGAACAAAATGGGTTACAACTAAAACACTAAGATGCTGGGAAAAAGGTCCTCTTCCTAAAGTAAATTGTTCTCTTGTTGGGAACGATGTTTTGGACAAACTTGCTTATGTGCATGAAGTGGGTGGCATTCCTGAAAAAACCACATGAGATCAAGATAAATGAATTTTTACAAACTTTAGATTAGTTTTCGCCTGATTATCTTCTTTATTACGTTTTCTAATTATGAATCACAAGTTGCAATACAACAGGTGCAACTGACTATACAAAATGGTTAAATTTAAATTGATGACTATCATATTCTTTGATCATCTATAAAAATGAATAAAACCAATTACATGCTAAACTACTCGAATAAAGATTAACAAGTATGTAATTGAATTTTGTATTTAAAAATTTAATATTAACTATTCTATATTACGCAATAATTACAAAAATTTTTCGAAATTTACAAGATTATTAACCTCTATACTACCCGACTCAGATTGAAGACTTTTTTGTATATAATCTTTCGTTCGAGTTCTTTTACGATCAGGGAGTCATCTACTTCAACCCTATCCTTCAATAAACTAATAAATACCTGTACAACTTTTTTTACATCTTTACATAGTTCTGAATTGTTCTTCAAGACGTCTTTGTTAATTCAATGTTATATTCAGTTTCTAGACGAAAAATTTTTCTGGAGTATATAAGATAAAATACCAATCGGTTGCTAGCAGTGATAAATTGAGAGATAAAAAAATAAATCAGTCTATTCGTGCCTTAATATAATATATATTTATGGAAAAAATCAAATTATATCTGTAGTAACGATTCCATAAAGAAAATCAAACTCTTTTATCAAATGCTTCATCTGCTTTTCGTTTTTTTTGAATTTGTTTGATATGAAGCAGTAAGTTGCAAAACGTTTTGTCCGAACCCTACTATTACATCACTCTGTTTTGCTTCAGTTAAAGCTATCAATTCATCAATTCCGGTATCTTTCTTTGTTCTTTCATTACCAATTATTCAAACTGGCATCTTGAACGTATTTTTTGTTTAGTAATTTTCTGGTAATTAATCCAGTATGTGAATTCGATTAAATTTATTTTGGTAGGTTTCTAGAACTTGCTCAACAGTTAGAAATAAATATTTTGTGCTTTACATAATTAGATCATTATTAGGTATTGATTCTGGGTATTACGAGTTTCATCGGCGATTTTTTGCCCGACATCACACAAAGAACAAAGAACCACATGGTGATGAGTAGGGAAATTTATTTTACGCTTTTTTTTCCATCAGCTAACATTCAAAAAATTTAAGAAATTAAATAACTTTTTTGATAGTTGTAAATAATATTTTTAACGCTACATTACATTTAAAAGGCCAGCTTGAAAAATAAAATGTACGATCTATTCTATAAAAATGAATTATGCAGCGCAGCAGCAAAAAACCTGTTTAAACAACCTATAATTAAAATAAGTTTTTCTTTTTTAATTTAACTTTTAATTCATCGCATTCTCTAGGAATCCCCATATGTTCTTTCATTGGTTCTGACAATTTAATGTCGTACTTTCGGTATAACATTGCTAAAGTAACTTTTAGTTCCATCATTGCCAAATGTCTTCCCGGACCTGCAGTTGATAAATGATGATAGATTAGATAATTAAATTTTTTTCATTTAATATTTCTATAAATTTATAATTTAAAGAAAATTACATTTTCTCAACCCTTCGCCAAACAAGTAAACTTTATTTTTACTCTCTGGATTCTCAATAAACCTTTCCGGATTAAATACTTCGGGATCTTTCCAATATGATTTGTGTGTATGAATTCCATCATAATTTAAACAAAAGAGAGCATCTTTTGGCAATTTACAGCCTCCTACAACTTCTGGTGAAGAATTTTCTTGAAAATTGTTGGATTAACAGCACGCAATCTTGCCGCTAAAATTATAAAAATTTTAAGTATTAAAAAATTAATGAGATTTTATACTGTAATAATATATTAATAATAATAAAAATAATAATGAATTAGATATGGAAATTACATTCTCTGATGACAGAATCGGGTATATTCAAGTTTTGATAAATTTTCTAATGTCAATGGAATATTTATATCTTTTCCAAGAACACTTTCCATTTCTTCTAACATTCGTTGTTTTATTTTCGGGGTTTTTTTCCAAACAATCAACTAAGAAGCACATGGAGTTTGAACTCTGCATAAAGAATAAGAGAATACAATATAAGTTTTATCATTATTAACACATCAAGGTTAACAACAATATTTTTTAAATAATAATTAATTAATACCGTATCAATACCAGCACTTACAAGTTCCATAAAATTATATACTATATCTTTATCAGACATTGGTATCATGAAGATCATCAGCAGTCCTTTTGGTAACATCTCTTTCAGTGTTTACCGTTAAAAACATTGTTAATAGGTCAGGGTTTAATTCTTGATCAATCGATGTTTTCGAAATTTCTTCTCGTCTTGATCTAACAACATCATATACAGTATTCTTAAATCTATCAACCCCATCCTTTAAGTATTGAGTATGTCCCTTAATTCCAGGGAAATTTCGAACTATTTTTGGAGCCATAAAGAAATAAGCCAAGCTATTAACATATATTTCAGCAGATTTTACAAACGCCTCATTTTCTTTAAACACGGTTTTTGGTACTGTACATTTGATTTTGATATTTCATTAGGGGCTATTTTATTATAATAATTTGCTAATGCATAAGCAGGTTTACTGGTGGTAATAATATAAATAGTTTCAAAGAAATATTGTTTCATCCAATGATCAAATTCAAGTACTGCATCTTCATCGAATTTTTCCCAAAATTTTTCTTGTATGGTTGTTTAATAAATGAAGGGGTCATTATCCCTTAAACGGTAAATCATGTGAATTGCGGCAAATTTGCCCGCATTTATTAGTAACTTGTGACGTCACTACCGTTTAAGGGTAGCTCTGGTAAAGAATTTACGATGGTACAGCCAATTAGTATAATTATTATTAAAAAATAAACCAGTGTTCATCACACCAATTTCTATAAGACCATCAACATCATCGTTCATTCTACAGTGAAATGGACCGTTAAGGACAGGTTTCACAATTGGTTGAATAATTTCATTATTAGTCAATAAAATAAAGCGCTCGGATCCCACATAGAATTCACATAAATCACCATATTTTCGAATTTTTCTCACGTCAAGAGCGAAATTTTTAAAAACGAGATGAGTACTACCAATAAATGGAAGTGGAAAAGGACCAGGAAGTGGATTCATACGTGTAAAATATTTGTAATAGAAATAAGAGATATAAGTTACTAAGGCACCTAATGATGTTTTTAATATCTCAAATAATAAATCCATTTTGAATTGTTGGGAGTTTGTCTAAATTTCTCTTTATTCAAATAAATTTTTGTAATTAATAGACTCATCTTGAGTAGAAAGATATGATAATTCTATACCGATTATAAAATTAATGTCCTAATGTATTTCGTATGAAATTAAGTTTATATAATCCGGATTAAAAAAAAAAAATAATCCGGATTATTCTTTCAATCCTCGGATTACTCTTTCAATCCGTGCTCAAAATAAAGTGAAATCGTGCTTCCGTTTCTCAAAATTGACTAAAATAATCTTAATTTTTCCACGTTCCTCTTTCCTTATTTTTTTTTTTTTAAAAAAAATAGTTTGAAGTAAACTGCCTTTGAGCGACTAATTAAAACTGTTTGGAAGGTATGAAAGTAATTGAATATTGTTTTCGCTAAGCTAGCTTATAAACGGATTGAAAGATGAATTTTTCTTTAATTACAAATACTCACGAATTCTTTACTTCTAGAACTTTAATACATGGTCAAAGTAAACTGCCTTTTAAAACTATTCAGAAGGTATGAAAGTACTTGAATATTTGTTTTTGTTAAGCTGGTTTACAAATGGATTGAAAGATGAATTTTCTTTAATTACAAATACTCTCAAATTTTTTTACAGTTCCATTTTACATCCAGAATTTTGTAATGTAATTTCAATGCATTAGTCAAAGTAAACTGCCTTTGAATGACTAATTAAAATTGGTATCCTAATTTTGTTAAGCTGGTTTACAAATGGATTGAAAGATAAATGATTCTTTAATTCAATTTTTTTATTCTTTAAAATTTAGTTTAGTTTGTAAATTTAAGATAATATTTTTCTCAACAATTATATAATTATAAATTTATTCAGAAATGTTATATTAATTAAAATATTTTTTAAATTAATAAAATTAAAAATACTCAATGTAAAAAAAATATAAGAATGAATTATGTATCATATTTAAAGGATAGACCTGACCTATATCATCAAAATTGAGCGAACAATTATCGTTTTAAGATTTTTTCGTCCGTTCGAACTTTAACCGCTAGTTTTCTCTCAATTTTAGAGATATAGGCCTGTTCTTTAAATATAATATGCAATTAATTCTTGTCTTGAAGATTAATTAGTACTGTTTTTCAGGTCTACTTATTAAAATAAAAAGGTTTATATGCAGTGACTATCGACAATTATTTCCGATTTTATATTACCCAATGGAGCAACCCGGAGCCAATTATATAGTAACTCGGGTTATAATAAGTAAAATGCTCCCGGGTTGATACTAGTATATTATTCTCCAGTTAACAACCCATGAACAGGAAACAACTTTGAAACAGCGAAAACGGTTAAAGCCATAAAAGGGGATGATCGGCATATCAAATAATGTGTCGCAATAGCCATGGGATATGATTTATTTTTTTTCCACCAGCTAACATTCAAAAAATTTAAAAATTAAATAACTTTATTGATAGTTGTAATAATATTTTAACGCTACATTACATTTAAAAGGCCGGCTTGAAAAATAAAATGTACGATCTATTCTATAAAAACGAGTTATGCAGCACAGCAGTAAAAAACCTGTTTATTATAATATAAAAAAAAAACAACCTATAATTGAAATCATAGACTAACCATATTACAAGTTTTTCCTTTTTCTTAATTTAA